TATGCTGGAATCGTTGTTATGTAGTTTTTGCGCTATAATTAAAGTGTGGGGGTTCTATTGAATAGATAGAAAAGCGGTCGACAAGCACTAAATTTATAGCTTACAAACAGGCCGATTTCGAGTGGAGAAATGATTTCTGGAAAAGAATTCGGGTCATAAAGGGTGTCGATTTACGATTATATAAGGAGCGGGGAAATTCTTGCTCTCGGAAAGATCCAAATCACAAAAATTTGCTAAATATTCGAGAATTTTAAATCAGGAACGTTAGGAATTTAATTTTTAATTTAAATTAATATTAGCATATTAGTCGCTTTGCACTGTGATTGATGGCCTTCCGAATAAATTGTATTGTATACAGGGCGCAGTTGACACAAAATAAACTTGCTTGCTTTGCGAAAAGATACAGGAAATTGCTTCCCGCAGTGTTAGCATAAATTTATAATAAAAATTGAGTGCTGTTGACATATGCCGCGAACCGCGCGATCAGTGTTTCGGAACGAATCGGTAATCGGCAAGTAAGATTTTATCTTAAATTTCTATGATTAAAGGTATCGACTACGTAATTGATTTCTACACTTTTGTTTTTCTTATAGATATACAATAATAATGGAAGAATTTGATTTCGCTTCCCTGAACTCGTCGACCTATTGTAAGCCATTCAAAAATGTAAAGGATATGGAAATTGGTGAAAAATACCGAATTGTTGATATCGGCGTGATTGGTACCAAGTTTGGAGATCGAATTGTGGTCGAAACCGAAACCTTCAAGTGCATACTGCCCCAACGTTACCATACATACTTCGAAGCAGAAAATCGACTAGAGTGCTTCAAAACGGCCCTAGCAAATAAAGTTATATTTATAACTATGTATATATTTATAACTATGTATGGGAGCTGCAGGTGTAACGACAAATGTATAAATTGTAGTTACATAAAAATTACCTACTCATAAGGCATGTAATAAAATTTAAATATGAATAAATGCGTTACAGTTTCCTACCATTCATCCTTACGACTCACCCCGAGAGCGAGCAACCATCGCCTCATTATAGGCCTGGAGGCCACGAAATGTATTTACAGGTTAGAATTGAGCATGACATAGGTAATAGGGCCCCCCTTGCATGTCTCGGAGAATTTTAAGTTGGGGCCCCATACATGTCACTGCACCTGTTTTTTCATTGACTTCAACCTCTAACTATAGAATCTCTCAAAGTCTGCGTGGCTCATTTGGTTACGCGCTAGCTTTCTATTTCAGGTATCGTGGGTAATTTTTGTCTATAGCAATCACGTGACCGATGACGCGGGTCCAAAATAACATCCAAGATGGCGAATGGAGCGAGAGAGGCAGACAGACAGACGGCAAAAAATGGCGCCCAACAAAATGGCGGGATTAGAGACTAATAAAATGGCGGCCGATCCAAGATGGAGGATTTAGTGACTAATAAAATGGCGCCCAACAAAATGGTGGGATTAGAGACTAATAAAATGGCGACCGATCCAAGATGGCGGAATTAGAAACTAATAAAATGGCGACCGATTCAAGATGGCGGATTTGGTGACTAATAAAATGGCGACCGATCCAAGATGGCGGAATTAGAAACTAATAAAATGGCAACCAATCCAAGATGGCGGATTTGGTGACTAATAAAATGGCGCTCGATCCAAAATGGCCGACCACACCACTCATTGGCTGTGACGCCACAGGGGGCCCCTAAAGGCTCTGCCTACCGTATCTCATTGGCCAAGGGAAGGGGCATAGGGGGGCGTGCTCGTCTTTTATTGGCTGTGACGTCACGAGCTCGTCTCTGATTGGTGTGACGTCACTTCCTGGTCCAGAACGAACATAGGTCTTCTCCTACAGGGTGTTTTTTTGGGAGCTTTAGTTAAACGTTTCTGGGAAAGTAAAATAGGTAGGTTTTTGAAAATATGTGCTTAGGAGTTACTCTGAAGGCTGAATCGATGTAACATATTTTCAAAATGGCCACACCGCAAGTAGATAATAACTTCGTTATTTTAAATGGCAACCTCAATTTTTTATTGCATTTTTGGATTCTACGTGAAATTTCAGTTCTTTTGATACCCATATGTCGATATCTGCCATTTATGGTTTTTAAGTTATTTTGACTTTAAGAAAAAAATGGCGGATGCAGATGGTACCTTGATAATTGATTACTTGAAAACGGTTATAGTCATGACAACCCATTTTTATCAGTGTATAGAGAATGAATAGGGCTTTCTTTTAGTGTAGGTACTTAAATAGTATATTATATACCGCGGGACTGAAGTAGTACTTTTAATCCCGAAGGAAGGTAATTTACCTGAGGGATTAAGACCACTACTTCAGTCGCAAGGTATATACGATATTTTTCGTACTTCCGAAACTGAAACACTTAATATGTATGGAGTTAGAGAACGCGTTCTTTCAAAAAATCGCTGCTTAACAAGTTACCATAGGAATGTTGCGTCGGTACGACAATCCCTATGCTATGGTAACAAAAATAATTTGGAAACTGTCATAATTTTGGTGGTAGGTGACAAAGGTGTATTTGATATTGATAAAAAGCAGCCAAACTAGGTAAAGAATTGATACCACCGAAATCCAAAAAACTATATGAGCAGCAGTACGATGCGTTTAAAAAGTCGTGCCGCATACAAAATGTGGAACAACCTACTGAAATTGCCTTGTTATAGTAATTTCATCCTTCCGGGATTTTCGTCCAAATTTAATCCCGGCGGGATAAAAAGTGACACTTCAGTACTTCAGTACGAAAAAAAAGTTAAGTTGCGTACAACCGCATCTATGGAGATCCAAATTTAAGAAACTTCATAGTCTAAAAACTCAGTTTTTTTAAATGGAATGACCATGTTCTTACTATTGCATGCGATAGAGAATCGAAATTGGCATATTTTGACAATACAAGTTCCTATAGCTATTTTTAACAGTTTCTGGCTTATTCCCATTTTATTGAATTGATGCCTTTCCCTTTCGCATTCTTTTTAGTAGCTGGCCATGATTTTATAACAATCGAATTTTAAACAAATCAAGGGTAGGATTCTTTAATATTGTTGATTCTAGTCTAAATAATTCATTAATAAATAAGTCATTTATTAATCTAGACAGAGTCGTTCAGCTGAATTTCTTAAACAACGTGTAAGTCTGGAAATTCAGAGAGGTATTGCGATATTTGTTCTAGCAACAATTCATTCTGTCCATTTCACCATAAATAACAATTAAATTCCAAAATAGGTGAAACCACTGCGAGCCATTTTTCGATTTTTGAAAAACTTATGTTAACCTATAACAGTAGGTGACGAATTAGTGTCACTAGATTTCTTTAAAATTCAATTGTTATAAAATCATGGCCTGCTACTAAAAAGAAAATCCGAAAAAACTAGTGTCAATTCAATAAAATGGGAGTAAGATAGTTATATAAACATGTATTGTAAAAATATTCCCATTTCGATTCTTTATCTCATGCAATAGTAAGCAAATGGTCATTCCATTTAAAAAAACCGAGTTTTTAGTCTTTGAAGTTTCATAAATTTGGATCTTCATAGAGGCGGTCGTCCGTAATTTAATTTTTTTTAAGTGCACTAAAAGAAAGCCCTATTCATTCTCTATGCACTGATAAAAATAGGTTGCCAATTATCAAGGTACCATCTGCATCCGCCATTTTTTTCTTAAAGTCAAAATAACTTAAAAACCATAAATGGCAGATATGACATATGAGTATCAAAAGAACTGAAATTTCACGTAGAATCCAAAAATGCAATAAAAAATGGGGGTTGCTATTTAAAATAACGAAGTTACTATCTACTTCCGGTGTTTCCAGAAGTGCGGCCATTTTGAAAATATTTTACATCGATTCGGACTTCAGAGTAACTCTTAAGTACAAATTTTCAAAAACCTACCTATTTTACTTTCCCAGAAACGTTTAACTAAAGCTCCCAAAAAAACACCCTGTATACCGTAGGCTTACCTCCAGGTTTCTTGGGGGTTGCATGTAGACATCCTTCTACAAATACCCGTCCAAATAAGCACTCTCAACATCGAACTGTTCGATGGCGATTCCATTGTTAGCAGCTAAGGACGCCATAAGACGCATAAATAATAGATACCGGTGCGAAATGCCCAATCATCACTCTGAATGTGTATATCGGAAAATCCGGCGGTGGTAATTGCTCATCGTCACTCCAAGGAAGGTTTTCCTCTTCGTCTGTAACGTTCTCAATCACTTCCTTCTCCCCCAGTGTTGGCATTAACCCGCTTTCTACACAAGTGATACCTTAAAACATGAGATGTCTGGAACTTTCCCGTTCCAAACCTCATAGCATGTTCGACCATGTAAGCGCTTCGTAGGCAAGCCGTCCCTAATGTAGTTTGCAGTATTCACCGTTTCGGCCCAAAATAAGTTCCGTTCCATTTTTCGCTCTTTTGACTTAAATTCGGACAGTTTCTAACCCGATGACCAAATTTCTTACATTTAAAACAACCAAACGATTCGTCATTTGCCAGTCTTTTTATTCGGGTCAGACTTGATTTTCTTATGTTTAACATTGATAAATTTCTTCGAAAAATTAACACATTTCGCGTAATGTAACGCAATTTCTTACCTGCTAGAGGTCGCTGTTAGCTCGCATTGATACACAAAATAATTTCCGACCGTGCTTTTTGATCATTCACGCTGCCAGTTGCGTTTTCCGCGACCGGCTCTGGTTTTACTGCTCCTATGTGTAATGCAATCAATAATCTAATTGCTTAATAGGTGAATAAACACAGCTACTTTCAACAACGAACAGGAAACATCCTATTATACACTTATTGCGCCATTTCTCTGGAGCGAGGTGGTAAAAGTTCATTATAATAAATGGGGTTTCTACTGATACGCAGTTCATTATAATTTTAGAGTCAATGAACAGTATCAGACCTGATGATTTTCTTGTTCATACCTGGAACAGAAGTGGAAAAGGTAGATGAAATTAAGGTCAAATACAAGCAGGTCGCTGCATGGTCTTTCTATTGTCGTATTTAAGAGTTTAACGCAACTCATTCCCGGAATACAGAGGAGCAGCAATCGTGGATTTTTGATTCATTCATTAAAAATTGTTTAATGTGAAAAATCTGTTTCGAGAAGTACTTATAGTAATACTGCATTCTTGAGTGAAGATTCTTTTATAACTTACGATGAGTACGTACCTATCTATAAATCTACTTACTTAAAATTAAATAAAAACACGCTTTATACAAAACTAAATTAAATGCGTAGGTGTAATAGTAAGAATTACTACTCAATTAGGACTAGAATAGGTATTAACAAGGCGATACACCTGGAATATTATTTAATGTACCCGTCTATTGACTTGCATAAGCAAAATGCCAAAAATATTCCAAGCAACTGTACAACTCCTAAACCTATTCCAACTCCAATTACTATGTTCATGTGGGACATTATCCATTCTAATGCAGCTTTTAAGCAACCCTGCAAACAAGAATTAGCATCGAACTCATTACCTGAAGCACTCACCTTAAATCTGTAAGAATTTAATTCGTCAGGACGAGTTGTGCAAATGGGAAATTTAGGTTTAAAAGTACTTGGCTCTGCAAGCACGCAACACGATTCTGGTATCACTTTATTTTTATCCCAATGTATTGCATCTTCGAAGTCCTTGTAATTGTCAACACCACAGCAGGAAAGCTGCGCCTGTATGTGATTCCAAAGCAGCGAAAATGCGTCAGTCTGATTCCCCGATGTGTAATACTTCTTTATTGTACTCTTTAGGAAAGTTCGCGTCTCTTCTTCGGCCTACAACCGAACGTATTAGGTCATCTTTGTTAGGTACCAAAAATTAGTTAGGTACTTACTGTTCCCTTATAGGCAGCCGCCAAACCTCCCGCTGTTATTTCGAGTATTAGAATTAAAATTAAACATACTCCGTACTGTAAATTAACGGATGTTAGTAAGAGGACATTTAAAGTTCACACGTGGTTAACTTACTGCGGTGAGCAGGTGTTGAGATTCTCGGATGGCGCCACAGTATCCCAGAAAACTGACAATGAACATGAAAGCGCCAGCAACGATTAATATGTATGATGCTTGATCGATGACCTTTGGTTGTGTAAATTGCTGAAAAATAGGAGGCGCATTTAATAAAACAAAACAGAGCTATTTTCTGTTAATGAATTTTCGAAAACGGTCTTTGGGGGGACAAAAATACCTTCACTAATTTCTTGATCCCGTAACAGGCCACAATACAATCTATAAAATTGCACAATAGATCCAGTAACAATCATATCGTTGATTTCCAACATTGAAGCTTTTAATGAGCTGTTTTTTGTGTCATTGCGGAGAGATCATTACAAATATAATAATCTAAGCCATTATAAAGGGTGAGAACATTTTTCTATATCATGTTAAATCTAGTCTGAAAGCAAGTAAAGACAAGAAAAATCAGCAGCCAATTGTTTACGCCATAGACCAAGAGCCCGCGTAGAAAATACCTCGTCATAGGGTACAAAAGGTTTGATGTAACTAGGCAGTAGAATGTCAGCGTGTGATTCCAAAATCGCCCGTCTGCCGGCTTGCGGCGGTCAACTTAGCGTGGGGGGCGAATTTTGAAAACTGTTCCAAATCACATAATACCTCGTCACTGGTACACGTATGATTTTTTGCAATCTGATTCGGAAATGTGCACCAAATTCATAGTTGCAGCGGCAGACAATTTATCTGGGCAACTTTCCCGAGCAGACGCGTTTAAAAACATTCAAAAATTGTTAAATACATCGTCATAAGGTACACGCTCGAATTATAGCTTAAAATAAAGCTCTTTGAATGTAGAATTTGGGAAAACCATGAAAAACGCGGCAGACGGTCGTATAACTATAGCAGACGCCTTTGAAATTTGTAGTTTCATCTTCGTTTAACGCATTACTCCCCGTGCGGTAAAGCGAGAGCGCTGTCACACAAGCACGCTCTGCTTGTAAAAACCTCGGTAAAAACGGATCTACAGCTGGAAGTAGGTACCTACACCTAAATTAAATGTAGGCATTCCATAAATAATAGGATTTATGAAATACAAACCGTTATAAAAGTGTTTAGAATGGCAATATAACAAAAAAACGAATAGGTACGCTAGGGGTGCGGGGGTAAATGCCAAAACTGAGGGAAATCTTCCATTAAATATCCCTATAACTATCTAAATGAAGGTGTTTTTAAAACTTCATCGATTCATTTTATCAAAATTGCAATGGTTCGTTTTGAAATGAAAGTCTTGTATAGGTATCGTTACGGCATTTGACATTATTTTACTATTTTGAATTTTGGCACCATCAATGTGTATTTCTCATTATTTTATCAAAAATTCGTCAATAAATCCAAATAACAAAATCATGTTACGCCATGGAAATTTTCTGAAGAATTGAAACAACGTGCGATCATGAATGAGTTGCTGTCGAGTCGCCTTTGGAAGTTCAAGTTAAGTACGTCCACGTAAACAAAAATTCCAAAGGTAACTCGATAACTCGACAGCAACTCATTTTTTATCGCATAGTGGCTTTTGACACAGATGGAATGGGACGCTCAATTATACCATGCACGCTCATTAAAATGTACGGAATAGCGTTGGGCAAAAAAATCGATTAATCGATTATAATCAAACGATCATCGATAATCGGGTTTGATTATTCTATTAAATTAATGGATTATTTGATTAATCGATTATTTGATTAATCGATTATTTGATTAATCGGTTATTTGATTAATCGATTGTTTGATTAATCGATTATTTGATTAATCGGTTATTTGATTTTATCGATTGTTTGATTAATCAACTATTAAGTAAATTTTAATTGATTATTATTAGCTGAATCATCAGTTTACGCAAAAAGGAGCACTCACAGCTCACAAGTATTATTTTATTTTATAGCGGATGTTAAAACGTCACTTAAGCAGCTAAAATGAATTAAGATTGTATCATCAAAACTAAAGCACACCTCATCGGAGAGTAAGCTGCCTAATCATTTATTTTTATTTATTTATTTTTATTTTTGACCTTCATTTTCAAATGGACAGGGTTTCACCCAAGGCTGTTCTACCAACCAACCCACTATGCATTTGCAAATATCCATGCCCGAACCCGGATTCGAACCAGGGACACTTTGTTGATTATTGATTAATCGATCTGCCTAGTAGTGAACGATTTGATGAAAAGAGTAATGGAATTATTTTTTATTTTTATTATTAAATAATTAACGTATTAATGCATACAAACAGATATTTATCACTCCTTGTATGTGACAATCGACTTTTGATTAAACGATTAGGTGATTAATCGATTATTTGATTAATCGATGATTTGATTAAACGATTATTTGATTAATCGATTATTTGGTTAATCGATTAATCAGTGTAATCGATTATTTTTCATAATCGATTATCGATTATTCATACCCGTAATCGCCCAGCCCTAGTACGGAAAACAAATATCGCGTACAAGAGTAAATATTTCCGTTGTAAACGTTGTTTATTATAAATACTTTTTCCTCAGTGAACTGCATTTTACAAAAAAATTAATGCCAGTTATCAGAAACTAATATTGATTTGGATTTGAATAACGTTTGAATCTACTTTTTGTCTTAAGGCGCGTTCTCACGAGTCAAGTTTAATTGGCCAATTTTAGTTGATCAACAAAAGTTGAATACAACTTGAATTTGAATTTTGTTCACATATTTCAATTAAAACTGAATCAGCGGTTCAATGTAAAAATGGCGTCGAATGCGGTTCTGCGTGAATGTGTTTAAGGTATTACTGTTTTGTTAAAAGAAGAATTGAAAAGGATTGTTAATAATTTGAACAAAAGGCGTAAGAAACGTTGTTTTTGGGTGAGGCAGTGGATTCTAAGAAGAAATAGATTGGGGGCATCAGAAACATTGTTGAAGGAGCTAGCATTAGAGGATAAAGAAGGGTATAGAAACCATTTAAGGATGTCCGAAGAAACATTTGCGGAGCTGCTGTCAAAAGTGTAGGATGTCATAAAAAGGTTTTCGCCCTAAGGCGAGTAACTTCAGCGCATTTTCCATAAATTGATCAATACTTCCCCAAAGGCCATACCTATGTGCGCTACGTTTTTCATTACTAGAGGCATATAAGTATGGTTAAAATTTTAAAGAAATATCTTCATAAATAAGGAAGTTGACACTTACTGCGCAGTTGAGATTGCGCGTCTTGCGCATGCGCTTATTAATCTGATATTTACAATACGTTTGCTTTTACTATAAGCATCTTTGGTTAAAATTTCAAAGAAATATCTCCATAAATAAGAAAGTTGGTATTGCGCAGTCTGCGCATGCGCACATCTGATTTTTTACTATATGCGATATATTTGCCTTTACTACAAGTATCTGTGATTAAAATTTCAACAAAATATATTAAAAAATAAAAAAGTTAACATTGCGCATCCTGCGCATGCGCAGTTCAATCGTTATGATTTTCCTTGACTCAGGTGCCAGAGCGATACGCTACCGAATGCAAAAAGAACGAACTAAGTATCTTGAAAACTGTAGGAGTAGTTAAGGCCTCGGACAGACGGACGGACAGAGAAAGTGGCTGCAATAGCGCACCCAACTTCGTTGGAAAATGCGCTAAAAAACAAGATTACACAGATTACCCTACACAACTGGTATCACACCTATTATTTTATAAATCAAAGAAACGTACGTGCACTCCGGCCGCTTCCAAAGATTGTACTAAACACAGTCAACCAAAGTTGACTGCGTAATTCACACATATCAATACAAGTTTCAGCTTGAAAACAATTCGTGATGATTCATCACTTGAACGATAAAAGTTTGCTTGGGTCAAACTTTTCTTGATCAATTACAAAGTTGATCAACTCGATTGAACGACAGGTTCTCACTACAGTTTTCATTCAACTTTTGTTGATCAACTAAAATTGGTCAATTAAACTTGACTCGTGAGAACGCGCCTTTACTAGTCATGGCTAGCCATGATTTTGGTAATTGGATTTATTGCCGAATTTGTGCTAAAATAATGAGAAATACACCTGAACATGAACTATTTCATACATCATTAGATGAGAAAAAAATCTTCTTTCGATTGGAGTCATTATAAACCCTCCAAGTTAACATGGGGAGCAACGATCTACAAAAAACCTTTTTCTTGTTAATTCTGTATGTTCGATTTTAGTATACGGACCGTGCGGTTTGGGAAAATCAACCCGGTATGTAAATTGCGAGGTAAATTGTGAAGATAGAAGATATATGTTACAAATTTTATGTTTAGAGGGCTATATACATAGGGAAGTTCAAAACAGCCTCAACTGTATACGTATGCAGAGGGTGGCACAAGAATTGTTTTCCGTTTATCGTAAATGGCAGTTGCAAAGAACGTAGATCTTATCTTGCTAAGGTTTTAAGAATAATAATTGGGTTTCTTTAACTCGATAGTCTCACCCCTTGATCTGAAAAAAAGTTAGATTTGGAACCTTTAATTGAGAAACGCTTTAGTTTGAGCTACGCTTCGTTTATACGGTGTCTGCATCACTATCCGTTTGAGGGGGTTGGCACACTCCCTTGATTTAATATAGGTATCTCATTTAATTTATTTCACACCTAATAAAGTATGTAAGATATGTGTTATTCTATGGTAAATATGAAAACTGAATTTTCAATCAATATCACCTGGTGAATTTTGTTTAGATATTAAAATAAAAATTAATGGCATTATATGAAATCACATTACAAAAAACATTGATTGCCAAAATTCAAAATAATAAAACAATGTCAAATGCCGTAACGATATACCTATACAAGACTTTCATTTCAAAACGAACCATCGGGTGTAATTTGCAATTTTGGTAAAATGAAACAACGAAGTTTTAAAAACAATTTCATTTAGATAGTTATATGGGGATATTTAATGGAAGATTTCCCTTAGTTTTAGTATATACCCCCGCACCCCTAGCGTATTTTTTTTTGTTATATTGCCATTCTAAACTTTTTTATAGCGTTTTGTATGTTGTGTTAGTCGTTATTTACATTAATAATGGTAGTGTAGGTGTAGTATAGTGTAGAAATATTTTTTTAATATTTGTGTTCATGTTTTGTGAC